CCACTGAGCCATCTCTCCAGCCCCTCTAATCTGTTTTAAACTTTTGCTCTTAGTTAAAACAATGCTTGGGGGGCCGGGGAGATGGCTCAGTGGAATAAGTGCTTCCTTGGCAAGCACAAGGGTCTGAGTTCAATCCCCGGTTCTGCAAAAAATAAAAATAAAAAAAAATTTAAAAAATAAAACAATGCTTGGACTAGGGAGATAGCTCAGCAGCATAAGTACCTGCCTGGCAAGTGCAAGGTCCCGAATTCAATCCTAGATACTGCAAAAATAAATAAATAAATAAATAAATGAATGAAACAATGCTGTAATTAACTTTCTCTTATAAGCCTTTTACATCAATTATTTCTGCACTTATTTCAGGACTTGTTTTTTTTTTTTTTATTCTTGGAGGAACTGGGGATTGAACTCAGACCTTTGTGCTTGCCAGGGAAGCGCTTATTATACTGAGCCATCTCCCCAGCCCCCTCTGCACTTATTTCAGATATTTTTTGGGATAAATTCCTAAAAGTCAAATTGGAGGGTCAAAGTAATTTTTAAGACTTTTTTTTTTAATTTTTAAGATTTTTGTCAAGCTGCTCCCTAGGAGTACTGTAATATTTATAGAACTCACCTGCTAGTCATGTTTAAAAGAATTTCTTTTTTTTTTTTTTAATTATTTATTTAGAGAGTGTGTGTGTGTGTGTGTGTGTGTGTGTGTGTGTGTGTGTGGCCAGCTCAGCCCACCAGGGGGCGGGGCTGGCTGGCATGTGGTGCTGGGGGATTGAACCACAGTCCCTGTGCTTTGCTCAGCTTAGCTTGTTCTAAGTAGGTGCTCCAGACCACTGAGCCATCTCACCAGCCCCCAAGAATTTCTTTTTTGAATCTTCGTTAATATGGTAAAAAACAATGTTTTCATTTGCATTTCCCTCAAAATGAATGAGGGTGACTGGACTTGAGTGGCAGAGCTCAGTGACAGAGCCCTTCTCTAACACCTGCAGGGTCCTGTGTTCTGCTAGGGATGGTGGCACACACCTGTAATCTAAGCAGTTTGGGAGGCTGTGGCAGGAGTATTATAACAGTTTGGGGCCAGCCTGAGTTACATCATGAGATGTATAATGAGTTCATGGCCAGCCTGAATGACATCATGAGACCCTGTCTCAACAAATAAATAAATTGAGGCCAGTAATATAGCTCAGGAGCACAGTGCCTGTCTGGCAAGTACAAGGTCCTGAGTTCAATTCCAGGTACCAACTAAGTAAATAAATAAATACATAAACAAATAATTTGGGATTGGGGCTGGGGAGATGGCTTAGTGGAATAAGTGCTTCTCTGGCAAATGCAAGGGCCTGAGTTCAATCCCCGGTTCTGCAAAAAAAAAAAATAATAATAATAATAATAATAATAATAATATAATAATGTAGGGCTATTGTTATAGCTCAGTGGTACAGCACTTGCTTGGCAAGCCCAAGTTCCTGAGTTTGATTCCTGGGATGGATGGATGGATAGATAGATAGATAGATAGATAGACAGATAGATAGAACGGTGAATTTGACCCAGGGCCTTCACCCTAAGCTACATTCCCAGCATTCTTCTTTTTTGAGACAGTTTGTTGTTCCCTCCCCCCCGCCCCCAGGAACCAAGGATTGAACTCAGGCCCTTATACTTGCCAGGCAAGTGCTTATTCAATTGAGCCATCTCCCCAGCCCCAGACAGTTTTGTTAAGTTGCTAAATTGTTCAGGCTGGGCTCTGACTTTTGGATTTCTTTTTTTCTTTTTCTTTTTGGCTGGCACATGCTGCCTTAAGGGTGGGTCTGGTAAGGCCTGAGGTACTGGGGATCCAACCAAAGTATCCTGTGCCTGACTATATTTGCATAAGTGGGCACTTCCGCAGGCCCCTTGGGCTCTGACTTTTACTTCTCCTGCCTCAGCCTCACAATGTACTGTAGAATTACAAGTATGCACATCTTGTATAGAAAGTGTATAATAACAACTATAATAACCAACACTTAAGGATTAACTACTTTGTGCCAGGTATTATTTTACATGCTTTACATGTATTAATTACTTACCAGACCAGTGAGAGGTAGATTCTGTGATCTTCATTTATAGAAGAAACAGAGGGGAGGCTAAGAACATCCAGGCACTAGCCACACCTGTGAGTGCGGGGAGGTCCTTCAACCCTAGAGAGGTTGGCCTCAGGGCCTGCGCTCCTAGTCATCCAGGATCTGCCTCGTTTTCCACTGATTATATCGTAAGCCCTTGGGGGCAGTGAGCTGTGCCACTCTTCTTCATACTACCAGAGTTGTATCCCCAACCCAACTTCAAGAATTCGTTTTGTTTTGGTTTTGAGAGAGGGTGTCACTATGCAATTCAGGCTGGCCTTGTGCTCACTTTTGTAGCCCCCAGGCTGGTCTCAAACTCTCAGAGATCCTCCTGTTTCAACCTCTCAAATGCTGGAATTACAAGTGTGGACTACCACGCCTAGTTTTAAGAATTTTTAAGGGCCAGCCTGATAACTCAGCAGACTAAAGCGTGTGCTTAGGCAGAGTGCAGCGGCCAGGATTCAGTCCCCGTCATGCATGCCAGCCCTAGCCCCTGGAGCACGCTGAAAAGGCAAACGAGACTGGGGTGGTGGCGGGCGCTTGTAATCCCAGCACTTGAGAGGCTGAAACCAGGAGGAGCACTATGGGTACGATCTACAGAGCGAGACTGTACGCCCTGTAGACTGTCCTAAAATACAGGGAAAAAAAGAGGGTTTTTTTTTTTCATAATTATATCTCTTCATAATTGTAACTGATTGCTGTTTATCAGAGGATTTGTTTTTGTTTGGTAGCACTTATATAGAAAATTATTTAGGGAAACATTAGATCCAATCAAACAATTTAAAAAATATCTATTCCTTGACAATTTGAAATAATTCATGTTTTGAATCTTGACACTTTCAGGCATTTCTCTAAAAACTTACTGTTTACAGGGTCTTACTCTGTAGTTCACACCTGTTTACTTTCTGGTTTTGTGTGTGATAATTTCTCTCTCAGAATTTTCCTTAATTCAAATAATTTTTAACTACTTTAGTTTGATAATTTATATATTTCTGTAATTCATCTTTTTATGTTTGTGTATAGATGATATTATTTATTTTTTGTATTTTAGGGAAGGGTCTACAGGGTGCTCAGGGCCTCACTACTAGATCGGACTCCTAGTGATCTGCCTGTTTACAGCCTCCCAAGAGCTGGGATTACAGCCTGCCACCACACCTAGTCTATGATTTTTAAAATGTTCCTAATCTGTAGTTACATGTTGTAGTTCAAGTTTGTATTTTTTTTTTCTTAAATCAGAGCACTGGGTTGTTTTTTGTTGTTGTTTTTTGTTTTTTAGACAGGGTGTCTTTATGCACTTTAGGCTTTTTTAATTCTGAAATTTATTGTTAATCCACAAACTTCATATAGCTTTAGTTTAAAAACAAAAACAGTGAAACCAAGACACTATTTCAAAGTCCAGGCCCTTCCAGCTTCCAAATACAAATTAGAAGAATAAGACATATAAATGGGGCCATGACATTTCAGAAAATAAAGATTTCATATAACTGAAGGATCCACTGATCCTCCCTGGGATGAGTTAACTGCCTTTACAAGATAGGGGGAAAGAAGAGAAAGGATGGGGTTGGTAAAAAGGGGAGGAGAAGGAAAGGAAAAAAAAAAAACAGAACAGAGTAGAATCCAATTCCAGTGTTCTGAATCAACTTGTTACACATCCATATAATCCTAGTGTTCCAGGCTGGCTTTGAACCTGCCATGTAGTCTTCTTGCCTCAGCCTCCCAACTGTTAGGATTATAGGCATGCACCATCATGCCTAGCTCTTGTATTTATCAGTTGTTCTAAATATCCATTAAGGTTTGTTTTGTTTTGTTTTTGTTTTTTCTTGCGGTACCAGGCAAGCACTTATTCCACTGAGCTATCTCCTCAGCCTTATTTTTGTTTTTGAGATAGGGTCTTACTCTGTAGTTCAGGCTGGCCTCGAGTTCACTATGTAGCCTGGGTTGGTCTTGAACTCACAGCGATCCTCCTGCTTCAGCTTCCCAAACTTTGGGGTTACAGGCATGCGCTACCACACCTGTTTACTTTCTGCTTCTGTGCGTAATGATTTTTCTCCCAGAATTTTCCTTAATTCGAGTAATTTTTTAAAGTTTTTCTTTTTTTTTTTAATGGAGGTCTTGGGTTTTTGGGGGGGATAATTCTGTTTTGTTTTTCATGGTACTTGGGATTGGACTGAGGGACACTCTACCATTGAGCTACATGCATCTCCCGCTCACTTAAAATATTTTTATTTTGAGCTGGGCATAACCTTACACGCTTAGAATTCCAGCACTCAGGAAGCTAAGGCAGAAGGATTGCAAGTTCAACATCAGTCTGAGCTACATGGAGAGTTCAAGCCCAACTTGGCTAGTGAGACCATGTCTCAAAAAAATGTGGGGGCCGGGAGATGGCTCAATAGGATAAGCGCTTGACTGGCAAACACAAGGATCTGAGTTCAATCCCCGGTTCCGCCAAAAATCAAAAACAAAACAAACAAACAAACAAAAAATGTGTGTGGGTATGTGCATGCCACTAGCCAGCACACAGTTAATTTTTTGGGGCTGGAGAGATGGCTCAGTGGTCTAAAGCACCTACTTGAAACAAGCTTGGCAAAGCACAAGGACCACGGTTCAATCCTCCAGCACCACATGCCAGCCAGCCCCGCCCCCTGGTGGGCTGAGCTGGCCACACACACACACACAATAAATAAATGTAATAAATAAAAATAAATAAATATTTTTAAAAAAAATTTTTTTTGGATTAGTGCTTAATACCTAAGATTCTTTATTCAGTTTTTATTGAAATAATTATAGCTTATTTTCTGTGTCCCTGGTACTTTATATTTAAAATTTCTAATTGGTTGAGGTTTTTTATTCTTAGATTCTGTGTGTGTGTGTGTGTGTGTGTGTGTGCGCGCGCGCGCGCGTGCACGCACTTGTGTATGGTTTATTTATTTATTTTGTATTTTGGGGAAGGGTGTACAGGGTGTTCAGGGTCTCACTACTAGATCAGACTTGTAGTGATCCACCTGTTTGCAGCTTCCCAAGTACTGGGATACAGGTGCATTACCACACCCAATTTCAGTTGCCACCCAGTTTTAGCAAGCCCCCGGGGGCAGGGCCGGCACAGCAGGCCCAGGGATTGAACCCTGAGCCCCTGCACCTGCTTTGTAGGCCCTTTAATCCACTGAGCTATTTGGCCGGCCCAGTATTTTGATCTTTATATCAATTTCTAGGGTTTTTTTTTTTCTAAAGATTTATTTATCTTGGGGCTGGGGAGATGGCTCAGTGGAGTAAGTGCTTCCCTGGCAAGCACAGGGCCTGAGTTCAGTCCGGCACAGGGTCTTACTACACAGCTCAGTTGCATACTGATCCTCCTGTATCAGCCTCCCAGCACTGGGATTACAGGCATACACCACCAAACCTGGTTTCAGTGGTTGGCATAGCTCAGGGCCAGCACAGCATGCATTATCAGGGATTGAACCTGAGTCCTTGCACTTGCCAGGCAGCCACTTAGACCACCAACCTATCTCCCTGACCCCTTAATTTCTAGTTCTATTATTTGGATGAAGATATCCTTTCAATGTTTATTTTTTAGGAATTTCAAGTGTGGTGGCACACACTTATAATCCTAGCAGTCATGAGGATTAGGAAGGAGGATCATCATGAATTTGAGTCGAGCCAGAGTACTTAAGGATTTCAGGGCCAGCCTCAAGTACTTAATAAATCCTTGTCTGAAAAAAAAGAAAAACAAAAAGGAATTTAAAAATATTTTTACAGGGCTGGGGATATAGTTCAGCAGCACAAGCCCCTGCCTGGCAAGTTTAAGGTCCCGAATTCAATTACCAGTACCAAAATGTATATATATTTTACATTAGTGACATATAGTAGGGATTTGTGCTAACAAGGGTGTTGTTATTTATCCAATCTAGACTATGATATAGCATTTAAATCAAGCACATTTTGTGAAATTCTCTTTATCTTTATATGTTTTTTGTTTTGTGAGTCAGGGTCTTGCTTGTGGTGTTTCAGGCTGGCCTGGAACTCACAGCAATCCTCCTGCCTCAGCCTCCTGAATAGTGGGATTACAGGCATATGCTACACCATGTTTATTATGTCTCTGACCTGTCAAAGACTGTAGTGTCAGCGATACAACTTCTTTTCTATATACCTGTGCTTCTCTTCTCATTTTAAATGCTTTTAACGTATTTTGATGCAGTATTTTTAGTACATCAAAGTAACTGATAAGACATTTTTGACAAGATTTTTTAATTTATAAACTTTATTATAGTTTAGTACTTTACCCCAATATTTATTATGCGATATAAGTGGTCTTTTATTCTATTTCCTGTGTTTTGCTGTGGATTGCTTCCTGTGTATAATCATCTTCATGGTTTCTGAAGGTGATCTATATTTTTTCAAATGTTTGTTCATCAGCACATGTTTAGTGTATAATCATCACATTCATTGTGGAGCACTGGCACGTGTACGTACATCTTTCCCTCCTTTGAGGTTGACACTATGTTGCTATTTAAAAGCATTCTCTCTCTCTCTCTTTTTTTTTTTTTTTTTTTTTGCGGAACCAGGGATTTGAACTCACATCTTTGTGCTTGCCAGGCAAGCACTTATTCTACCGAGCCATCTCCTTGGCCCCTTAAAAGCATTCTTTAAGTAGAGTTTTTCTACATTTAAATTTTTTTTTAACAAATTTATTAGAGGATCTACAGGACCTCACTACACAGACTGGACTCAGTCCTCCTGACTCACCTCCCAGTAGTGGTGGGATTATAGGTGTACACCATTCCTCTGAGCTACACATCCATTTCATCATGATCAGGAAATCTTATATTCTAGTCACCACTGGATATGTAAAAGCTACTCATCTTGACTATCAAAGCTGAGAAAACTCTGCTCTAATTAAAAAAGGGGAGGGGCTACTATTAAGAATGCCCATGACAGTCATGGAATATACTAACGGATGTCCCTTTTCCACCATCCCTTCTTTAGGAAACACTTCCCCAGATCAAAAGGAGCCGACACCTTTCATCATTGAGTGGATCCCAGATATCCTTCCCCAATCCAAGATTGGTGAGCTTCGGATCAAATTTGAGTACGGTCATCACCGGAATGGGCACGTGGCAGACTGCCAGGACCAGAGGCCCTCCCTGGAGCACTCACTGGAGCTGGCCCCTCTGACCACTATCACTTTCCCTTGAGACAAGAGTATTTCACTGCTAAATTTGCACATCCTCAATCCTGGCCACTTAAATACTAGGTGGACCTATTCCTTTTTTTTTTTTTTTTTTCCAGAACCGGGGATTGAACTCAAGCCCTTGCGCTTGCCAGGCAAGCGCTTATTCTGAGCCATCTCCCCGGCCAGGACCTATTCCTTAGTGAATTGTTCTTAGCTAAGATTCTGTTTCTTAGAGAATTCAAGCAGGTTTTATTGAGGAAAAACTCATGTAAGCCTTTTTGGTGCTGCTTGAGCAGTATTTCTAGCTAGTCTTAAAAAACAACTCATTTTCCTTGTCATGGACTTTAGAATTTATTTCATGTTTTTCTAATTCTTTCAGAAGTTAGCAGCACTCAGCCTTACACTGATTGTGTTGGAAAGTCAGTAATACCCTAGTTTTTACACAGTGTAAAGGGCCATCCTTGCAGAGTTCTGGAGCATCCATGCTCTTTATTCTGTTCTCAAATAAAGCACAGTGTCACTGGTTTTTCCAATGATATCTCATGCTGGCCTGATTATGAAATCATATTTTAAGAGATTTACCTGAAAAAGAAGTTTGGGCCTCAAGGAATTACTGACATTTGAAACTAATGCTTGTAATTGCTTATTAGCTTTATATTTATTTCCATCTTTTTTCTCTTCTTTTTTTTTTTTGGTGGTACCAGGGATCGAACTCAGGACCTTGCATTTGCCAGGCAAGCACTTATTCCACTGAGTTATCTTCCTGGCCCCTCCATCTTTATTTTTCAAAAAGTTTATAACTAGTAAAACTTAATTCCTATTAGAGTGTCACAAAAGGCATAAACATTTCTACATGCCTAGCTTGTGCTAGGCACCTACGTTGTTGTCACTTCATCTTTTTTCTCATTGAATCATTAGTTTGAGTTTAGGTGTTACACCTTCATTTATAGTTAAATAAATAGCAGCATTAGAATAATATTTATGCCGAAAATTACTCCATGGTATGTATTCTTTCTTACAATAATGCTTTGATATTAATATGTCTTGTAGTTCACTGCCCTTGGAAATCAAGAAATCAAAAAACTCATATGAATTAAGCTTAGGTTTTCTTTCAGTTGCAAGTAATATAAACCTAGCCCTAGCCAGCTTAGGCAAAAATAGAATGCCTGGTCATGAACACTAAAATAGGGCCAGACAACCACTGGGGTGGAGCTGGGATGTGGCTGGGCTTTAACCCTGCTGCCAAGGGCTGCCTGGCCCATTTCCCTCTCTTTGAGGCTTCATTCACAGAACAGCTGAGGTGCTGCAAGTGTGGCATCCACAAGATGAATCAAAAATTAGCATGTGTAGGAATCACCTATGGATCTAGGAGAAATGCATATTCTGTTTCAGAAGTTCTAAACCAGGGCCCACGTTTCTGCATATTATCAGTTCCCAAGTCATGCACAAGATAGTAGACAACAGAGTGTACCCACTAGCAACGTCAATGCCTGACCTGATGCATACATATAACCTCCATTCCACCTTTCACTCAACACTAAGGGAGAGCAGCTTGTGGCCCCAGCATGTAGCAAGAACATTTCCACTTTCCCTCTTTCCTCCTCTCTTTCATATATACCCTTCCCTCAATCTATCTGTCTTCATTTTTATAGACAAGGTTTTGCTCTGTAATCCTGGCTGGCCTAGAACCAGTGATCCTCTGGCCTCAGCCTCTCCTGTTTGGGGATTACACGCATGTGTCACACCTGGCTTGATGTTTCAAAGCACTCTATCCAGGTTGCTGTATGGTGTCTCCAGTTTAATTGCTTAGAGTTCATGGGTTCTAAAAGGGAAAATGGGTTCCATAGCCACTTTAATTTCGTGCATGTTTTTCTCCCTACCATCATTTTTCAATGTCTTCACCTATCCCCGCATTTTAAAGTTCAGATCTCAACGCCAAGGTATGAAACCACTTCTGCCCTCTCTCACTGACTGCGACCTTGGGGAAGTTACTTAACACAAAGATATGCTAATAAAGTTAGATACAGGGACTCGGGAGATGGCTCAATGGAATAAGCGCTTCCCTGGCAAGCGCAAGGGCCTGAGTTCAGTCCCAGGTTCCACCAAAAAAACAAAGCTGCATGTGTGCAATTGTAGCACATCGCTTGTCTATTGATATTGGATTCTACGCTAGGCTTAAGATCCGGTTGCTTTTGCTCTTTGGAATCTTTGTGCTTAATACTACTGTTATACACACTTGTTCAATTAAAAAAAAAAAACCTTGGGAGTAAAGGTGGTTAAAGATTAGGTATGCTCTTCCTTTTCCCCTAAATTCTCCATAATGTACATTACAGTACTTTCATAAATGGGTAAAAAAATGTGCCTGGCATTAGGCTTCTACACTACGCTGAGAGTGGAAGAAAGGGGAGCAAGGAGTACCAAACTTGGGGTTGGTCACGCGGTAGCCACCCGCTCGCCGCCGCGAGATGACGTCAGGCACGTCACGTTCTCGCTAGCACAGCCACTTCCGGTCGCTTAACGGCTTTTCTTCCACCAGGCGGCGCCGCAGAACGTTCAGTTGGCGACGTCTCTTGCGCAGCCGCACTGGCGCTCCGGACACGTCACCACCTTCGCGTGTTTTCTGGAGAGCGCGGGAATGCGAGCGAGGCGGGTGATTATGTCACCGGGGTTCCCCGCGTGGCTCGCGGGGGCGGGGCTGGGGACGTGGCGCACGCTGCGGCCTGCGCGCGGAGGGGGAAGGAAGAGGGGAGAGAAAGGAAGGGCGGGGGAGGGGTGCTGCGCCCGCGCTGGCCTGGCGGGCCTGGAGCGCGCCGCGCCCGCCCCGCGGCCCTCGTTGGGCTGAGCCCCCGCCGAGCGACGCCGAGGTGCTGAGGAAGCGGGCGCGCGGCGGGGGTGAGGTTCTCGAAGGTCGATCGTTGACGTGCCTCCAAGACATGGACTTCCGGGCTGCGCCCTCGAGCGGAAACCCACTCGAGAGTGTAGCCTGTGGTCCTCTGGGTGCGTGGTCTGGGTAGCGGCGGACGGGGGGAGGATCCGCGCCCCCGGGGGACACTCATGGTGTCCTGGAGTAGCCCCCTGCACTCAGAGCCTCGGCTTCCCCTTTGTGAAGCCCCCGTTGCACCGTCAGCCCGGAGCACATAGCCCACGCTCAGACTGCAGGCGTTACTGAAATCCTTTTCTACTAACACCGGGTGGGTCGGGGGTGGGTCGGGCGAAGAGGCCGTTTGTAAGGCCGTTAACCCCCGGGTAGTCTTTTTTTTTTTTCCATAATTTTATTGAGAGACATATAGCAATGAGACAGTTTCAAATCAAATTGGTAGGACAGTTTCAATAATTAACAATTGCATACTGTCTTCCTAGTGGTTATTTGCTGTACAAGATGCAGACATGATATTCTATTTACAAACACTATTAGAACAAATCCCTCTATTCATTAAGAGAATGTAACTATATATCCTAACCATTTTGAATACACATACAAAATGGACATTAATTTATATATCCCCTTTTGTTTAGTTCCGTCGTTTGAATATTATAGGTGTGTTAACTCAGCATAATATTCTAAAAGAGTGCAGTAATCCATAATAGTATTGGGTCTTCCGCTTGACTGGCAGTGTCAGAAATTGTTGACCTGAGTCCCCTACAGCTCAACATAACAACATGGCTTTAGTCTTTAAAACAAAGGCTTTGTGTGTTTCCATGTCTGGCGGATCACAGGCCAAAGCCTCCCTTAGGATGAGCTCCATGGCCCACTTAATGATTTTGGAACAAAAGATGGTTAAAAAAATTTAAAGAGGGGATGTCAAGGGGTTTGTCCATGACTTGAACAACTGAATTTAGAACCTCATGAAACTGGAGGAAAGGTAGCTACTGAGTTGTTGTACCCTCTACACCCATATGGCCTCTTGTCCCTTGAAAACCCTGTCTAGGGTGTGTTCAACTGAGGGACCCTTGAGCTCTGTTCTGTTTGTTGCCTTCACCAGAATCGCTGACCTTGTGTGTGTTGCTATGGCTAAGTGGTCAGTTGAGGAATGGCCTGTCCCCTGGAGTCAAGACAGCTCTGGCACCTTAGGTGAGGCTGGTCTGGCAGAAGTGACTGAGGGCAGGACATCTACTGAAAAGAAGAAAAGGAAGCCTGGTCAAGAGGCTGGTTCCCCAGGGGTGCTGCAAGCTACATGGAATCTCTGTGGAGATGAAACCAGTTCAGCAGGTTTACACAGCTCACCTCACTCCTACAGCAAGGATGTGGGGGAGCTGTGTGCCCTTAGAGACTATACTCAAGTCTGTTGTAAGTCTCTGCAAGAGAGAAAGCACCTGGTTACAGCTTTAGGTTTTGGGATGCTCAGGACCATCCTAGGGGGTATGAATGGATGTGTCTCCCTAAGCTGCTTCTATTCAGGTTCTCTCTGGGCTACTCCAGCCATTTATATCAGGACAGCAATGACCTTGACAGGTAGAGGAAAGCATTTAAAGTAGAAGCCCTTGGCCATGTGTGGTGGTGCACACCTGTAATCCGAGTACTCTGGAGGCTGAGACAGGATCCCTGTGAGTTCAACGCCACCCTCGACAACATAGTGAATTCAAGGCCTGCCTGAACTACACAGTGAGACCTCATCTCAAAAAAAAAAAAGTTCTAAAAATCTGGAGAGGCTACCCCACACACATTTTGCCTTGGCTGTGGATGGGTTAATAAAAAGACTCCCTGTATCACACTTGGACCTTTTTTTAGCACCATCTGGCAAGAGTCACCTCTTCTGCACCTGCTGCTTCTACAGGCCGTTGCTCATTTGCCAGTCAGCAGCACAAAAGCCAGAGACATGGTGCTTGTATAATTCGGATTCACTGCACCCCTTAGGGCAACTGTGTTTTTGCATCAGGTCGCAGAGAATAGCAGCCCACACTGCTGAGTAGTGTAGGAGACAACAAAGGGAACAGGGTTGGGGAGAGAGCTCAGTGGACTAATCACCTACTTAGGCAAGCGCAGGGACCAGGGTTCAATACCCAGTACCACAAGGTGCACCAGCCCCGCACCCCAGGCACCAGCCAAGTCCAGGCGTAGTGGAGCACATCTGTAATCCCCGCACTGGGGGCTGAAAACAGGATCACTACGAGTAAAGACCCTGTACCAAATACATAACTTTAAAAATGTGGGGAGAGAAACAGGCAGGAACTCACACATACACACATACACACACACACACACACACACACACCCTTATTCTAATCTTAAACCTGGCCACACTGGGACAGAGAAATTCCTAGAACAAGATAAGTAAATGAAGGCCTAGATACTAACCAATGTCTACTGTTGGCCTTACTGAAATCGCATTCAGAAAAATTATATCTGCACAAGGCATTAAGTTCCCTAGGTGAGAAACAGATGTATCGGGTTCTGTGGCTTCAGAAGAAGTGAGATTGCATGGGAGGAGTAGGACTTGCAGAATGGATGTCAGGTCAGGAGCTGGAGAGAGTGGGAATGGAGAACCCCCTGCTGCCACTGTGGTAAAGTTCATTTCTGGAGATGATATGAAATACATGGCCATTTGATCCCTTAGCTGTTAAGCCAATGGGAAGGCATGGCTTTAGTTGGAGAGGAAAGTGGTAGGCCCCAGAGAAACCAAAGAAAAAACCAACCATTGAACAGTGTGCAACATGTACTGACTAGCTAATATGATCCTGGG